CATGCCATCCTACAAGGTTGAGTGTCCAGCTAAGACAAGTATTTGTTAGGTTGCGATTCCAGATCGAGAGAGCGGCCACGCGAATTGGGTCATGAGCGGCGTCTGTATTCGAAGTGCCCAACGTCTAGGGCTACATCGAGATGGCTCGCAACTGGGACTTTCCCCCTTCCAGACAGAACTACGACGACGCGTCTGGTGGAACATTGTCCTACTCGATTTTCGATTCGCGATGGCCTCTGGATTCAACCCGACTCCGCTATCACGGGCTTGCAGCTGCAAAATGCCCACCAACATCAACGACGCCGATTTCGATGTCGATACCGCGATTCCCCTCGAGAACAGAGACGGCCCAACTGAAATGATTGTCTCTTTGGCGGTTTGCAGCTTGTCACGATGTCTCACCCAGCGAACCAACTTGAGCCATGCCATGTTCGTCGTTGAGAAGAGCGACGTGTCAGACGAGCTCAGTCGAGCTCACAGTATCGAGCTGGAGAAGTTCGTTGTGAACTTTGAAGAATATTTGGAGGATATCGAAAAGCGTTATTGCGACCCGAGTGCGGGGGATCTGCACATATTTGCTTTGCAGCTAAAAACAGCCATGGTTGACAAGATTCGTATCATGGCATGCAAGCCCAAGGGGGCTGTAGAGCCACCGCCCGAGGTGAAAGGGGACATCCTGTTTCGTGTCTCACTCGAGGCGGCTGAGCACGTTGCGAACCATCTTCAAGTGATGGAGGGCTGGAACTTTGTGTGGTATGTTCTTCAGTATCTCGAGTACGACTTGTTCCTCCACCTGATCGGTCGACTGTGTCTCCAGTCAACGGGCGACTTGGTCGATCGAGCATGGAAGGTGCTGCCCATCATATATCAATACCAGGAAGACTACTTCGAAATGTCGGTTCACCCATATGCCGTCGCAGGAGCGGTCCTTGTCAGGGCGTGGAGACACAGGCAGGAAAGCTTGCTCTCCCAGCTGGGCTATCTGCCCCCGACCCCGGATTATGTTCAGAGAGTTGAACAGTGTTTGGCCGCCAATGGATCAGTCGGCAGTTCCCCTCCCGAGCTGATGCCTCCTTCAAGAGGGGCTGTGCCGGAGACTACTGGGTGGGAGGACTCGGAATGGGGATGGAACCCGCCCGTGTTTGGCATCGAAACCTACGATCTTGAGTACATAGTAGGACAGGACTCATTGGCGTGGCCTCCGCCTCAGTAGCGACATGTGTGGAAGAATCTGGATAGCAATCGGGAGGAGCCCTAGAGAGAAGAGAGCGGCAGAGGCGGAGAAGAAGTCTGACGGTCTCTATCTCTCAGCTAGGTACTAAAAGAATAGCGCGAAGCATGATTCTCAAAATTTTTGGATAGAGCTATGATCACCAGTGAATAGAAGAGAGTCCCTCATCACTCAATCACATGTCTTCGATTCGATCAAGTACTTTACCCAGCAAGAACTATTATCATGGCTGCCTTTCTTTACAGCCTACCGGGCCTCCCAACTCGTCCACAGCGCTGCTTATAGGGACACCGTGTTGAGGCTCGGATCAACTATATACGCCAATAGGGAAGCCGTTACTCATGAACAAATGACCTAGCCAATCAAGTCCCATGGTCGATGAGCAAGAAGCCGAATGTAGAGTCCTTGATCAGTATATCATGATTTTGGTAGTGCTGTAACTTTGTCGCACCATCCTAGCGAAGCGGAGGGACCTCCTCCGCGCACGTGATATCCAATCTCTCGATCCCTGTCTCGTCCGGTCTCAGGCTGGCCCACCTTTACTCTATTTGTCTTTGCTCTCCACACTTTGATCGACTCGTGGCGGTGTTTGGATGAACGGGAAGAACTCGATACCCCCTGACTAACTCGCTAGACAAGACTTTGAGCCTCAACGTGGTGAGCACTCAGCTGCCGTGCCGGTCGTCCGTTGAGTCTTTGGGGAAACATCCTAAAATGCCGCTTCGGTTACATCGGCAGAGGTCAATCAATACTTGAGGAAGAAGGGACTATGCCCCGCCCATGGAGCAATCCGAGGACCCGGGGACCTGGGGGTCCCAAGCTTTTTTCGCTCCCTTCCGTTAATTGAGGGGCTCCGGGGGCTTAATGGGTCTGGTAAGGTGTAGATTAAATGTCAAGCCCCCTTCGAAGAGCAAGTTTTCCGTCATGACGGGTACGAAAGCGACCGTGTTTATATAGGTGTTGCTGGGTTCCCGTCGATCGTCCTTGCTGATCTATCGCATCCCCGCCTGTCTTTCCATTCTTTCCAACCGAGTCGTTCGTTTTTTGAAAACACATTCTTTATTTGACAGGTGCAGGACACAATGAAGTCACAGATCTTGACCACCGGCCTCTTGGCTGCTGGGGCGAGCGCTCTGGAGAAGCGTGCATGTACCGCGACGGCGGAGTGGCCCGGCTTTGCAAATGTCAAGCATGCTTTCGTCTTGTAAGTCTGCAATTGCTCTACATTTTGTCTTGCAGATAAGCTAACAGTTATCAGCGGCGATTCGTACTCCCAAACAGGCACGATATATGGAGGCCTCGAATCAATGTCATCCAGCTAACATATCACAGGCTTCAACACATCCCTCGAAGCTCCTAACCCCGCCAACCCCCTCGGAAACCCTTCCTACCCGGGCTGGACCTCCTGCAACGGGCCCAACTGGGTCGACTACTTGACCGTAAAGCACAATGCATCCCTCCTGTACACCTACAACCTTGCATACGGCGGCGCCACAGTCGACGCCGACCTCGTCAAGCCCTACGCCGACACGGTACTCACCCTCAAGGACCAGGTCCAGACACTCTTCAGCAACGCCTACGCCGCAAAAACAGCCCCTGCCTGGACAGGCGCGGACTCTGTGTTTGCCTTCTGGATCGGTGTTAACGATATCGGCAACTCGTACTGGAACGGCGCCGATGCCACGTCTGCGCTCAACACCAAGATCGTGGACGTCTACCAGGGTCTGGCCAAGGAGCTGTACGAGGCGGGCGCGAGGAACTTTGTGTGGTTGACGACGCCGCCTGTCGACCGGACGCCGATGCTCCTTGCCGAGAATGCGGACGCGCAGAAGCTCTGCAAGGATGACGTCGCCGACTTTAACAGCAGGGTCAATGCCATGGCGAAGAATGTCACGACGTGGGAGGGTGCGAACTCGTGGGTTGTTGATGCCAACGGGGTGTTCAACGGTGTGCTTGATAACGTGGCCAAGTTTGATGCTACCAAGGGGTACAAGAACACTACTGGATACTGCGAAGCGTACAAGGAGTAAGTCACCCTTGAAATCGAATAGCCTGGCATGGCGGGTAGAAGGTGACAAGCTAATCCTTGAACAGCGGAACGACGGCTCAGGACACCCTTATTGACAGCTGCACCTACCCGGTCAACGAGTACTTCTGGCTCAACACGCTGCATCCTACTTACCCCATCCACGATGCGGTTGCCGAGACCGTTGCTTCGGCCCTGGAGGCCGGGCCTAACGTGTGCTAAGGTCGTTGGTGGAGATGATGGGTGATCTGTCTGTATCTACTTGTATTTACTTGCAAGTTCTGGGTCTACGTACAAATCAAAACAAGGTACTGCCATTCGTCATCGCATTTGCTAGCAGTGGTGGGGTTGGTGCCTTGGGGCGCATCTTGAATCCTCCTGGACCAGTTATATGGGTAAGGTGATGGTATTACCTGGAGAGACTGCATGTGAGATCAGATGAGTGGATGTACGAGACCGTCTTTACACCGTTGTGGTATCCGTATACCGCCAGGCGTCTAGTGTTTGGGGAGGTTAAGGCAGTTCGAAGTCGCACTTGACTACCTCACACGGCATCAGTCATTCCACGTCACGTTGCCCGAGAGCTTCTCACGTTCACTGCAGCAGGCCATGTTTGCTGAACTGGTTACCCACAGAGAAAAAGCAAGCCTATCACGTTCATCACATTCCTTACAACGAGGCTTTGCCAGAGGCTGAGCACGTTGCCAAGGCGCTACGGCTCAATAGGCTGTAGCATTTACTGCCCGACCATGATGCCCTCCAGTTCGGCAAAGAGCTCAAGTGGAAAAGATTATGTGGCAAGTACGGATGCATTATGGGAATTATCAATCTGGCGGAGACGAAGTATTGTTAGATGCTCTGGGGCAAGGGACAAAGTTTTCCTCAATCATATCCCAAAGTAGCGCGGTATACTCTCGCGAGAATAGACTAGTTTCTTCTTTGATAATAAGCCATTTGCTCAAATGCTTATAGTATTGCACGGAGTTCAGATAGTCAGCATCATCTTGGAGAATATCAGCGCAATGTCATCTGTTGTTGAGACTTTGGGGGGCTTCAACCTCGAGCTCTCCAGAAGAAGAGGAATTAAGCTTGAATTAAGCTAGAAAAGAGGCTTGGCTCTAAGCCTACAGCGATCTCAGACTGGCGAATGATCACCAGCCAGCCATCAGGAGATTGGACAAGGGGGTGGTCAAGCCTTGCAAGTAACTTGTCACCAGTCCAAGTCAGTGTCTGATCTTTTTCTGCGGCCAACCCCAAGACACCGACTTGTGACGCTGGGAGGCTGGGGCCAATATTTCCCTCCATGAAGGTCAAATAACATCGATTCGGCTGTTGGACCTTCTTGGCGACGAAGACAAGGTCTCTCTGGTTGGTGCAGAGCCATGTGTCGCGCCCTGGAGAAGTGGCAGAGTGGAAACCGGGCGGAGTGGGTAGAACTGCAATCGCCCGGGGCTAGTGCGGCACAGCATGCGCCAGGCGTCCTTCGCCCGGCCGGGGTGAGACACTCGTACGCGAGAATCCAAAGCGGATGTTAAAGCAGGCTATGCTCGTGAGACCGCTCATTTTTGTTTGACGGCTGGTCATACTTAAATTAGGAGAGGAGACGGGACTTACTTTTGTACCTCAGCCTTTTGTCTATCCATTTAGTTCAACAATAACAACAGCTTTGATCCAAATACCCACGAAAAACAAACATCCCCAGGCGGTCCTACAGAGAACCGAAACCACAACGCCCTTCCAACCATGAGTCACTATGATGCTCAATATATCGTGGGGATCGTGTACACTGTTATAAGCGCCCTGGCTGCTATCGCGGGCTCCGCATTTTTCGTTCTCCTTCTCCGAAAGACATCGAAAAGCTATCGTGATCCCACTCGCCGATGGGTGGCCATCACCAAAGTTGCTCTGGGGCTCTGGTTATTGTAAGCACCTCAACTCCATCTAGGTATTTGACAGCGGCTAATGTTAACATCGTCTCTAGTTCCGAACTCTTTTATGCAATTCTCAACATCATCTCCCTCGCATACGGAAGCACATTCGAATTCTACTCTTCATTGGCCAAGTTCATCTCGTACACCTCGTACATCCTCTCTTGGTTCTTCGACGTCAGCCAGGCCTTGACTTTCTTGGCACTCTTCTACCTCGCCCGCGCAATTACCCTCCTCCGCGTCGACGAGACCTCAAAACGGTACCGGATAGGCAAAATAGTCTCTCTGGGCGCCGTCGTCTTGATCTCAGTGCTCAGCTTCGTGGCAATGTGCCTCTGGATTAGTACCAGGGAGGGTTACTATTCTTGGGGCTTTGATAGTGACAATTACGAGAGGGTGATGATGAGAAGACAGGTGGCTCAGATTTTCGATCTCATTTGTGGCATTGTCAACCTCTTATGCGCCATTGGTGCCGTCACATACATTGCCCTGGTCCGCAAGAACGCCCTTGAGGGTCCTCTGCACAAGGTCAGTTTTTTGCTTCCTTTACCAACGTCCCTCAGTATTGAAGGAGGCGGTTGTGAATTGAGTCTGAGTGCTAACATACCACGGCTAGGCCTCGAACCTTGCGCTTGCAATTAGCATTTTGTGGCTGGTCCGCGCAGTCTGGTCTCTCTTTGCCCAGCTTTCCTCGAGATACGGATACTACTACTACAACTACGACACTTACACTTGGTTCAACGTTGTCTCGCTGGTCGTCGGCATTTTGGGCAGCTTCGCCGTTTTCATCATGCTCTACTTCCTGGCCACTCAGGATAAGTACGGCCTCAATACGCGTGGGGAGCTGGTACAGCCCGCGAAGTTGAGGGACGAAGAGGCATCGGGAGCCCACATCACCACTGCCAATAGCGTATATTGATTTGATCGAGGACAACTCGGGCGGTCAGCTACGTTCGGGAGGTTTATCCGAAGACCTGTTCTTGCGGGTAGAACTTAAGGAGGCGCGACAATTAAGCCTGATTTGGTTGAGAATTGGGGAAAGGCGAGGAACAGCATGATACCAGATAATGCGTGATGATACTCAATGCTTCTAACTTACGAATACACGACATCTGATGCATTGTACCCCCATCCACTTTTGACGTTGTTGAATGTAGCTAATGCACTCTGATTTACCACATGTTTCATTTCTCCTCTTCAGCAACATACTCGTCAGGTGCGACAAAGTCTTCTGATCCCCAGGTCTTGGCAATATACCTAGATATAAGTCAGCAAAGTGCTGGGACGGTTTTGAAGGAGCCTCACTTGGTATGACTTCCTCTCGCAGCCAACTCGCCCTTGTTGTTGAAGAATGTGACTGTTGTATATGCAAGCGTTCTGCCCACTGCAAAGAATTAGTTTGAGCTCGCTACTTGGGACAGGGCCAAGACGTACTCTTATCACAGGTGGCGGTGCCCGTCATGATGTCGCCAGGCTTGCCTCCAGGGTTGAGATACGTGACTACTGCAGTCAGTTGACAAGTCCAACCATGACCATGAATTCAATCATGAGTGCTGATAGATGGACTTGAATACTCACCGTTGATGTCAGTCGAGACACCAGTCATAAATCGTCCCTTGGAAGCGACAGCGAGAGAGCCACCGAGGTCAACAAGACTAGCAAGAGTTCCGCCATGAATCGTGGAAAGGCGGTTCTATGGGTCGATTTGGCTCAGTCAGTGGTGCCTTGGGCAAACAACGAGTATGGATGAGACGTACCGTGTGCTCCTTTTGGATTGCCAACTCGAAATCAACTTTGCCCACCGATGCGCCAGTCACCCGAAACTGATCAGGTGTGAGTAAAGTATCGCGCACATGCGTGAATGTTTGGACATACGTTGTTGCCAAGAAGCCTGATGTCGTGTCAGTACTCATTGGGTGATACACAGTACAGCAGATGCAAGCCAGCTTACCTCGGCTCCAGTCCAGAGTCCTTGGTGAAGGAGTTGAAGACCTGAGGGGCAATTAGACTCAATTGGCGACCAAAATCTGAGGTAGAAACTCACTGAGCGCACGAAGCGCAACGGAGGCAGCTTTGGGGCCATATTTTGGCGTTAAATGGCAAGCAAAGTGATGAGAATCGGTGAGAATGAGTTTCAAGGTGAACTCGGCGAGCTTCGGGAAGGGAGTCGCGACGGGGAATATGACGTGCGGACGACACACAGTACGTACCTTACCTATCTCTGGCTGATAACAACTCTTATCAGCGCATCTCGATAAGATAAGAAATCCCAAGCTCCGAGCAGCCAGGCACAACCCACGAGAGCCCCTGCCTAAGGCGGAAACCTCCGTAGACCCCTGCCTGCCCAGTTCCATTGATGATTGAATGATCGGCTACGCCATGCAATTCGACTGGTCGCAAACCATCGTGAACTCTTCCAACCCACGACGGCTCTACCACTTCGATCCACCCACCGTCGGCGAACTCGAGTCCGAAACCCCGCGCTGCCTATACGAACATGAGATAACATCGATTCACATCTTCGTTCCCTCCTCTACCCAAAACCCAGCGCGCAAATCGCCCATCATGTCGGTCAGCTCGGGTCAATCGCTCCAGCTGGCCGACTATTTGGAGAAGCTGCCCGGCACGACCTTTAGGAAGCTGTACCTGCAACCCTCTACGGCCTTTGCTATCTTCCGCAGGATGATTCCGCCGCTGGGTGAGAAGCCATGACCTCCCCTTGGATCGATAACTCGGGGCATTGGGTTGTTTCGTTGGAGAAAGAGCAAGGTCGCTGACCCAGAAGCCCAGCGAAAACCATCGTCATGGCTATTCTATACATGCCGCAGCCCATGCTGCTAGAGGACCTCGATGTTTGGGTCAAGCCGGATTCAAGAAGGTGCGCTCTGAAGTCTGACTAGTCACATGCGCCATCTAACACACCATCTTGCTTTCTCTCAGGCAAAAAGACCAGGCAATCTCGACCCTTCGCAGCCTGCACATCCTCCAAATCACACCTCCCTCCAAAGAACGGCCACAAGAGATGCAGCTCACGACAAACTTCAAAAACTCGCTACGGCTCGCACTCGAAGGCGGAGGATCCCACAACTCCTTCGGCGTGCCCTCCTCCCTCCCCGTCCCGCCCGAAATCACCGTCCCGTTCCTCGACCGCTATGCCCGTCGCAAGTGGGAGGACATCCTCCACTACATTGTCAACACCGTGAACCCCGGCGGCGCCGACGTCAGCGGACCTAAGGCGTCTGTTAAGGATCTGCTCGCCGCCGGTGCGCTCGTACGTCGCGCCAACGGTGCCGTCGGCATCACACAGGCCGGCTTCACCTTCCTCCTCCAGGAGGCCAACGCCCAGGTCTGGACCCTCCTGCTGCTCTGGCTCGAAGCTACCGAGCACGCCTCCGCCGTCACGGGAATGGAGAGCACCGACGCCCTCAGCTTCCTCTTCCTTCTCGCGAGTCTCGAGCTTGGCAGAGCCTACGATACCCAGGCTCTCACTGAACCACGGCGCAACATGCTCCCCAGTCTTCTCGACTTTGGCCTCATCTACATTCCCCAACACAAAACTCAACAATACTTCCCGACCCGCTTGGCAACGACGCTCACGAGCAGCTCCAGCGCCCTCCGCAGCGCAGGCGCAGGCTTCTCCGCCGCTCTCGCCGCAGCCACTGGTCCACGGCCCTCCAACGGCCTGACCCCCGGCGGAAGCGAGGAGAACAAGGGCGGCAGCATCATCGTCGAGACGAACTACCGCATCTATGCCTATGGCCAGACACCACTCCAAATCGCCGTCCTCTCACTCTTCTGCAAGCTCAAGCTGCGTTTCTCCGACATGGTATCAGGCCGCCTCACGCGTAACTCGATTCGCAACGCCGTCGAGCGCGGCATCACAGCCGACCAGATTATCTCGTACCTCGCCGCCCACGCGCACGAACAGATGCACCGCATGGCTGCGGTACGTAACCGGCCCGTCCTACCGCCCACCGTCGTCGACCAAATCCGGCTGTGGCAGCTCGAGACGGAACGCATGACGACCACGAGCGGCTTCTTGTTCCGTGATTTCGACAGTCCTAGGGAGTACGAGGACATCGCGGGCTACGCGGCGGAAATTGGCGTATTAACATGGCGCAACGACAAGCTTGGCATGTTCTTTGCTAGCAAACACGAGCAAATTAGGGACTACCTTAAGTTGAGAAAGAAGGCTGAGGATTAGACAGAGGCGCTATCGTGCTATTCCGAGAGACATAGATAGACCTAGGCACAGGTCTAGAGGCGCCCAAGGTATATTGCAAGGCGACTACAAGCATTAGCAGGCGTTTTTGGAATGGAGATGGTTCAGGCTGGTGTAGAAAGTAAATGGGTATTGTTCTTGACAGCTAACTTTTGGTCTCCCGTAACCTCCATCTCTGGTGAACGCCATCTAAAAACAATGCATGGACATAAGGTCCTTTTCCTCGTACACTCCCCCTATACGACAAAGACTCGTCTTGACCGAATCGAACAATGCGTTTATGCATCCATTCCTGTATACCTCCGGCCTTTCTCCTTCCCTAAGTCCAACCAAAGCCAACAAATGAAGTTAAACGCCAATAACCATGTTCTACAATAACCCTCAGATAGCGACTTACTCCAGACCATTACATAATGCTTGCTCGCATGACGTTCCCCTGCTTGCCTTTGCCAGCTTCTCTCTCCAACTGGGAGCTGCCGAAGCTCCGTCTTCCACCTCCGCTTCCACTAAAGAGCCGCGCAACGAATCCCCTGTCTGAGTTTGTGCCTTCTGGCAGGAGTACGCTGCGTCCCATTCTTCGGGCGTACGCCTCTTGCCATGCGTGTAAGCTTTTCTGGGCCTCGGGTGTACCGCAAAGTGCTTGGAGGTGTAGGAAGATGCGAAGACTGCGATTGTCTTCGTCCGAGAGTCGCTTAGCTTCTTGGATAGCGGCAGTGCCGTAGCGGTCGAGGGCCGTTGTGGTGCTCAGGGGTAAATTGCCACGGCCTTGATAGGCAGCACGTTGTTGAGCAAGAATACTGGCCTTGGATGCGTGGGCTGTGACAAAGATCGATAGAGTCTGCTCCTGAAGTGATTCACCTTGGAAACGATCCTGTAGTGACATGAAACGACCCGACCAGTAAGCTGATGGCTGGGCTGTCGTAATGATGAGTGGGTTGACTTCAGGACTGATAGGAGTTGGGGTTCTAGTAGGAATGGTAGTTGTAAGAGTCGAAGAGCTGCTGGTGTTACGAGACGTCACTGTCTGCTGTGAGGCCTTACGATCACTTCCAGTGAAGCTAGCTAGAGATGTCCTAGAGAGAGAGGCGGTGAGGTTTGACAGAACGGTAAAGGTGCGAGACTTGGGCAGTCGTTTCTTCTCTATTCCGCCCGTGGGCGATCTTGATTGCTTTTGACGACCTCCGAGTGCAGGGCTGCTTCCGCCGGAACTTTCAATCGTCTGTCCCGCACCTCTTTCGATTTCGGACGGCACGGATGTATGAGGCGGCCCTCGCAGGTGTGTGTTGTTTGTGATGGCCATGACGGGGAAGCTGGCGACAGTCGGATTGCTGGACAACGGTCCTCCTGTGGTGAAGCTGGCTGACAGTCGTCTAACTCCATGAGGTCTTGCCACACACAGTTGGGCTGCTGTTTCCGAAGGCGGTATGAGCTGGTTCTCTTGGGAACTGATTCTCTCGCACTGCGTAGGAGCGGCCTCATCTGAAGATGGAATGCGCGTATTGTCAGCGTTGGCGTGGGGAATTTCCCCCAACACTCGACGATCTTTGACAGCAGCTTGTCTTTGAGAAGTGAGAAATGGTTGGTAGCTTCCACGACCGGATAGGATACCTTGCCGCTGAAGAGGTGCGCGGGTTTCTCCTCGAGATGTTCGATGGTCGGCATTGACAGATTCGGGGGTTCCACAACCTTTGCTTGCTTGGGAAGTCTTGAGAGTACCACTTTGTCGATTAGTGCCAAGAGTCGAATGGCCTCTCCCCGAATCAGCGTCTGAGGTCGGTTGAGAGATGTCTGAGTATGGCTTTTCGGTGTCGTTGATGCTCGAAACGACGGTGATTGCTTCGGCACGCTCAAGATCCGGTCCGCTGCTACGCTGGACAGGCCCAACAGGTCCCGAGATGGTCGGGCGCGACGTGGTGTGCTTTGGTCTCCGAGAATTGCGATTCCGAAGCGGGAGGAACGAAGATGCAGATAGACGGTCTCGCATTTTTCCAGCAGAATAATGAGTGCGGCAAGATACAGGATGCACTCGAGAAAGATGAGGTAGGGGATTGCCCAAATGAGGACGGTGATAGTTACCTGGCAGGCTTCAAGGGCGTGCTTTGAAGAGGCAACGATGATGGCGATTGACTGAGTGAAGGAGTGGAAGTTGAGAGTAGCTGCGAGAAAACAAGACTTGGCCCAAAGAGAAAAAAGGCGTAGGTTGGCGTTGGCCAGGTCGCTGCAGAAGTAGGAAATCGTGATGATGCAGCGCGTGGTGTGGGCGAGTAAGACCAGGCCAAGCGATCCGGAGCCGGCGGGGGACATTGTCTGGAGAGGAAAGTGAATTACAAGAATTAAATCAGACGATGCGAGAATTTCAGTGTTGGAAAACGCAGCCAGAGCGGTGAATTGCAGCCGTGGCGAGGTGAGCCAAAAGTGAGGTTCAGATGAAAAAGTGCTCTGATGTTGTTGGATGTTTGGAGGACGCGTCGACATGGAGTGCACGGTCGAGGACCTTGAACAGATGTCGACTCACATGCAGCTCTTGCCGAGCGAGAGAGAAAGACAATCGAAAGCCGTCGCGAGAGGAAGGTCGAGTGCTGTTGTCGTTGCCATCACCGTCAACTTCTCCTGACGTCCCTGCCGCGATGTTTATTCAGTACCAAGTGAAAGAGACAGCATCGACCATGAGGTACCAGGATATGCTTTACGAGCGTCACTTCCCATTCAAGCCTCGCTCTTACTATAACTTCAAAATGCTCATAAATCCTGATCTCATAAAATATGCCGTGTCAAGTATGATGCATGAGGCAAGAACAACATCCAGCGCCAATGTCGTTGATGCGGGACCCTTTACATGCAATACCGTCTTGATGCGAGCCAGATTCCTCAATTCTCCCATCCCTCAATCTTGAACTTGAAAACCTCGTCACCTTGGCCTCTTTCAATGACGTTGCCATTGCCATCCCACAATGCTCTCTCGCGATACGTCACGTTGCCGTCCCAGTCAACCATGATGATAGTCTGCCGCTGTGTCCCGTACAAACCCACCTCGAAGCCCATGGTGCCTTGGGCAGGAGGATCGGGCCGTTCGCCTAGCTGCAGACCTTCGGCTGCCTTCTGGTCATCCGTAGCCCATTGGCCCGGGCCTCTAGAGACTGCCTCCTCCATGGCTTTTCGATGACTCTCGTCGCCGAGAGCAGGCACAAAGATGGACTGCTTCAGCTCCTTGATGTAGTCCGCCAGGCTCATATCAGGGTGCTTCGGCAGTGTATCGGTATCCAGGACCTTGAACAGGCGCTCAGCTAGAGCATCCTCGTCCAGATTGTTCGTAACAGCTTCCTGGATGGCCTCCTTGACCAAGCGTTTTCCATTCTCAACCTTGGGCCACGGCTTAGGATCATCGTACACGGTATTGCTGAGACCGTAAACCTCGCCCCGGTGTTCTCCGATCCACGGTACGTCCTGCAGCTCATCGCACCGGTTGGAGATGATGGCGATACCCTCGAGCGCACGTTCGGGCTTTTCGTCGGTGCCGCGCTTTCGTTTCAATTTGCCTGCCACCATGGAAAAGCCGCCGACGCCCTTCACACCCCCATCCTTGACGAGGTGATTCACCGATGTTGAAGCGGGCTCTGTGGGGTCGAACCCAAGCCAGGCAGTGACCATGCCACCGCGGCTGCGGGCAGCGTGGATGGGGTGTTTGGCATCCTGTGTATCTGTCTCGCGGTAGTTTGTGAGGACTGCGAGCTGGCCGGTCTTGGTGATGCCGAGCCAGGTGCCCTTCTCCGCTCTTTGAAGGTCGCGGGCAGAGAGAACAGTAGCGCCGGAAGGATGAGTCCACCAGTGCGGGCGGGACGTTGGGCGTAGGATAAACTCGTCCCGATTATCGACAACGATAAGGGCGTAGTCGGGATGAGCCGTGGTGAGTAAAACGATGCACATGCTGGGCGTTTTTGTGGTCTTTTTGGGGGGTGTGGCTGCCAGGTATATCGATGGACTTCGAATTGGTTCTTCCTGAGGGCAACTGTCTTGGTCTCGGTGAGTGCCTTGTGGGTGGTTGTGATCCAATGCTTGGTTCTTCGAGGGAGTGCTCGTGTTTATGTTCTCGTAGAGGAGCGGTGGGCAATGCAGCATCTATCAACCTAGAAGTTGTTGGTGAATCCAAGACTTGACGTGTCTATGTATGACTGGTGTTCGTGATTGTTAGGTTTCCCTATGATACGTGACGGTATGCCCAAACCCTGCAAACACCTTGGGAATTGTTGGCCCTTTTTAATGTTTTCTGTTGTTGCATCTATAATCAGTCCACCTCAGAAGCCCAAAAGTCCAAGGTCAGCTCGGCTTAGCTTGGTCTGGTTGGAGATGGCTATTGCCTCGGTCTTGGAATCATGCATCGCCTGACGCTGGAGCTTGGCAGGCTGTTGAGGAGTTGGCAGCGTGGCCGATCCTGTGTGCTCCGAGGGTCGGACAGCGGTGCCGGCCGGAGGAGATGACAGCATGCTTCCATGCACGCCAGGTTTGGATGGATCAGCTTCAGCTTGCGAGGCCGAGCGGAAGCTGCCTGTGCATGTGCTGTGCTCTGTCTGCAGTGTGCTGGCAGCTGCACAGCGGTACTAGAATCTGCAGCAGTAATACGACTCGAGCAGCTCGGTTCTGGTTCGGATTCTTGGCTGGATGGAGACCAGCTGACCCCAGCTGATGACACTCAGATTCCTTGTCCTGGGGAAAACGTTGGCAGTTGGCGTGGCTCGAGATCTTGTCATGGATGAAGTATGGGGTGAGGTTGAGGCTGGTGATCTTCCATCGTGGCTGTGCTGACACCCGAGATCTTACATAACAGCATTCGACTGGGACAATATTAGGTAATCAGCCTTGAATATTCCCGGTCAATTTCCCCGCGCTGCTCAACCCCACCATCCCTCTCAAAGCTTCAAATTCCCAACTGTCCGCCTTCCCTCATGCAACGACCAATACCGTGCAGCAACTGACATCAGACAGATGATGACCGCAGTGTACCCTGCGGTGACTCTTCTTTTTTACTGCCGTCAACAGACGTTGAAATAGCCCGAAAATTTCTGCCCGAAAATTTCTGCCCTGGTTAGCATCCGACGATCAGCAACAGGCTCCAAATGAATCTCTGTTGAACTCGTCATCAGATTCGTGGTTGCGAAAGTGTCGACTGCACCATCTCAACGCGTCTACCCTGACTATCTTGCAGTCATATTTCTCGCTAATTCTCGTTACGGGTGTCGACCTGTCAGCAATTTTCGAGCCAGTCGTCATCAGCTGTAGGAGCTGTGGATGTTGCCCCAAGACACCAAGTAATACATTGCAAACCCGCCCGATTTCAACAGCCGGCGATGTGGTTAACATATGCCCGACCAAGGGTCTCCCTCGCGGCGAAGATGTTTTTGGCAGGGATCGTAATCCTACCTATCGATCTGGCATGGCCTAGAGATGCGGAGCCCAAATACGGAGACTCCGGTCTTGCTCTGGCGGAGAGATTGAACCCCGAAAGTCAAGTTCGAACATCATATTTCCAACTTACGGTATCCCCCAGTCGGACGCGGTCCGAAGAGATTAGAGCCTCCACGCGTCTCCTCGATTGCAGAACTTTGTTGGCCACGCACCGTACTATCCTCTCGCCTCTATCTTACATGGGAGACACCACCAAGCAAGAATCCGAACGCATTCGACCTTCCCCTTTTGACATGGCGCGTCGGCTGTTACCCGGTACGAGCTCAGCAATCGCTGCAGTCTGACATGAATCGGCACTTTGTCCCGCCGACTCTCTGGGTGCAATAGCGTTTGCTCACCAAAAGCCTCCCAATGATGGCAATGACAGTCTCAGTGCTTACGCTCTCAATCTTTTGCCGCCAACACGACGACATGGACTCGTAG